CCTTGTGCCACATCTAAGCTACGCTTGGAAAATCTCTATAATTAGAGAGCCATGCTAAATGCACAAGAATTTACACCAGGGTTCTCAAACTCAAGGGAACAAAACTCGTAGGTTCTGAAGTGAGGGGTGCAGCAGGCCAGAAACCGGTCCGTCGCCAGGGCCTGTTTCTGAAGATGGTGCCGATTCTGGTAGACGGGAGGTTTGTGATATTGCTAAAAGGCATTCATAGATGGAATGGAAGAAACGCTTTCGGCAAGGTTCATCTTTCCCTCATAGAACTTATAAAATTTATTCCTTCTTTTAAAATGTGACGAAAAAACCGAGACATTATCGTAAAGTATTTGGCTTTAAATTTACTATACTTATCACTCTTATTTTCCCATAATGTCGTGTATGGACGTTTGTATTTACAAAAATCGGCACGTTTATACACATAAAACAAACATTTAAAATTCTTTTTAAAATATTGGAGGTCGCTAAATTGTAGTAATCTTTTCCATTTATGATTAGTAAATGTAGTTTTTACTTAATAATTATAGCACCTAACCGGTATGAGTTAATACAGGAATTTAAAAGATTTAAAACATTATAAATTATTATAATTAAATTTTTTAAAAAGTGAAAACGATTCTTGTAAAAATTCATTGTTTATAGAAACAAATTTTTCTTACGAAAACAGTGTCTATAGTATATCATAAAAGCAATTAAAAGCTTTCTAATTAAATAATGTCTTAGTTTTATTGCATTTTTTTATTTTACGGTTGGGAGGAGATTAATTGATGATTTAAACTCTCCAAAATGTTCTGTGTATAACTAATAAACACATTAAGCAGCACAAAAATGATTTTCTCAAAAATTTCATAAAATTCAATAAGTGGTGCGTGGGTAACAGATGTAAAAAAAAAAAATACCAAGACTTTCGAAAAAGATAATTTCTCAAATAACTTCATTCAATTATGAATAAGTCCTAAAAGTTTCATTAATTATTTTTGCAAGAATTTTCAAACCAATATACTTTCACCGCAAAATAGACGCTAAAATGTCTTATACTAATCTTTGTTTCCGCCCGCTGATGCAAGGAAAACAAAATTTTTAACCAAAATTCCGAATAGTCTCAAAATGATCAAAAATAAATTTTCCAAGATAAATAAAAAACACCTTCCTGTTTTGGATTTGTTAGAAAAAAGGTATACAACTTCGACATACCGTTTGTCCCCAGAGTAATTCCCATCAGCATCCAGAATCTTTTGCCAAAATGTCTCCAGCTGCGCAATGCCCTGGCGGTAAAAATCACGTGTCTTGGACGCAAAGAAGTCTGTGAGTGCTTGCCGCAAGTTTGCCTCATTTATAAACAAACATCAGATTCTGAAATCCCTTCGTAATCAGATCTCATACTTTAGAGAGCTCCTCTATCTATCTATCTATCTATCTCTCTCTCTATCTATCTATCTATCTATCTATCTATCTATCTATATATATATATATATATATAAGAGTTTCCCATGACCATGCTTGTTTAGAGAATGGAACAGGTAGCACAATGTCCGGGGAGTAAGGTGGATGACATAGTGTGTTCTAGCCAAGTTGTCGTGTCGTATGGTATCCCTGGCCACCCGCGCCACATGAGGCTTGGCATTGTCATGGAGGAACAGTAAACCCTTGCAATTAATCAATACTGGATCCTTTTGCTTTAGTGCCTGTTGCATATGTTCGTACTGCTGCGAGTACATGTTCGCTGTCATGGTTTGACCTTTGGTTGCAGCTCATACGACATCATTTGTCAACCAATCCACCAGATAGATAGCACGGGGAGGTAGAGGCTGTCTTGTGGTCTGAGAGGAAGTGTCCCGTGGTGACAACCAATGTCTAGTACGCATTAGAGTGTCATATAAAACCCACTTTTCATCACAGGCAAGCACTCGATTAAATATGGGTACACTGTTATGCCGGGAAGGCAACGATAAACAGGCCGTCACTTGTTGCTTGTTAGCTCCCGAGAGTGTGCGTACCCACTTGCTCAAATTTCCCTTTGCAATGCAGTTTAAGTCTGTTTCTACAGACAAACCAACCCCAGTTTTAGCTGTTGTCTTTCTCTATGGACACCTTCAGGGTCTCATCATCTAGGACCTGTAGCCGGCCACTGCACATTTCATCACAAAGGAACGGATCCCACAACCTGAAATTCTGGAACCAGTGGTGTATCTACTCACAGCATTAAACCCAAAAGGCTTGACGTATTCGCCGACTTGAAGCGGCTACGGACAATTCATAAAGCATACAATCCTGGACGAACTGCTTCGACACTTTTATCTTTCCTCGTCGCTGCACGAGCTATGACTGATGTGTGTGCAACGCACCTGCATTGGTAAAATCAATGCCACATCTTCACCACTTTTCTGGAAAGTGGCACACTCATTTGCGTATCAAGGATTATATATATATATATATATATATATATATATGTGTGTGTGTGTGTGTGTGTGTGTGTGTTTCTTATCATTATAAAAGTTATATTTAATTAGTGCTTCAGTAGATAATGAAATAGACTCAAAACGTATCTTATATATATATATATATATATATATATATATATATATATATATATATATATATATATATATATGTATGTGTGTGTGTGTGTGTGTGTGTGTGTGTGTGTGTGTGTATAATTTTAATATTGTATCACTTTAAATGTTATTTCATTGGATACTCGTATTTGAGGAGACGCTCCGTTTATATTATTAAACTGTATGTTTATTTATATTCACATATTGGCGTGTATATTTCAGAGATCCTACTAAAGAAAAATTGCGCTCTCCGGTTTAAGTAATAAAAATATGTTGGATTAATGAAAAAAATTCTATATATATATATATATATATATATATATATATATATGGGGGTATGTGTGTGTATGTGCGTATATATAGATATAGAGAGAATAATAACAGAGTTAAAGAGATATTTGGTTTCAACAAATATAATTCTTAAATATATATATATATATATATATATATATATATAAATATTTATTTAAAAATATGATTCAAATCGCGACATAAAGTCCCATGTTTAGCCAAAAACTTCAATATAATTATTTAAATTAAATTGAATTAAAGTAAGCTCTGTTCCATCTTTAAGCGAAATTTTTCGCTTGAAGATGAAACAGAAATTTTATTTCAATTTAATTTAAATAATTATATTGAAGTTTTCGGCTCTTGTTTTGAAACATGGGACTTTTATGTCGCGATTTGGAATCATATTTTTAAATAAATAATTATATTTATGCTCTACTTTTGTATCGAGCACTATTTTAAAAAAATAATAACTAAAATACTAAGGGACTTTGGATTATTTACCTAACCAGTTCCTTCCTATTTTCTATATATTTCACACACACACACACACACACATATATATATATATATATATATATATATATATATATATATATATATATATATATACATATGCGTGTGTGGGGGGTATGTGCGTGTATGTGTGTATATAGAGATAGAAAGAAAAGAGAGAGTAATAACAGAGTTAAAGAGATAATTGGTTTGAAGAAAAATTATTATTCTTAAATATATATATATATATATATATATATATATATATATATATAACGGACCGAGTTGAAAACACGACTCTCTCTCTCACTTATACATATATATAGAGAGATAGATAGATAGATAGATAGATAGATAGATAGATAGATAGATAGATAGATAGATAGATAGATAGATAGATGTGCTCTCTAAAGAATGAGATTTGAATACTTAGGAATTTTTAGAATCGGACGTTTGTTCATTTGGTCAGTTTCGGAGAAGTGGCTCAGGGCGAGTAGATTTCAGCAACCACTTATATATATATATATATATATATATATATATATATATATATATATATATATATATATATATGCGTTTATGATGAAAGTGAGAGATGATAGACAAAGGGTTAAATTCATACAGTAATCTGAAAAATCTTCGAAATAAAGAGATTCAATAAAAAATCTTTAATTGTTTGATTGTTAATTTTTCTTGTCAATTTTTTACGAGAATAAAACGAAGTGACATCGCGAAATTTCTTTTCAATTGAAAATCTTTTTTAAAAAATGCACTTAAAATTCCTTGTTTGTTAATTTTTGGTACCAGCAGTTGTCAGAAATCCTCATCACCCCGTATTTATTCAACTCCTACGTCGCAAACGTATCAGCCGAACAGTATCTTTTGTGGGGTAAATGAACTGTTTTGTTTTTAAAATGGCTGCAGGCAAAATAAAGGCATTTGACACAATAGAGCATTGGTTTTACTCTGGTACTTATTTTGTCGATGTCATATCCGATTTGTCTGTGCTTTTTTTGGGCGACTGAATATACATCTTAATGAAGGCGTTTCAAGAAACTCCCCACATGCCGGGAATAGACGTGAAAAGGCTATTCAAAGCCCTGAATTCAACCACCTCGCTAAATAATGAGAGCAGCGGAGGGCGATTATGCTGTTCTGAATAAAATAACGTAAAATCGAAAGCAGTCGAAAAACATGACAGCAAAGCGAATGATTCTAATGGAGCCAAAGTGACGGAAAACCATTTTGTGGGTGATTTTAAGACTGGACTTGCAGGCGGATTAGCTTATCCGAACGGACAGCTGGTGTTAAAGGATATTAAGAAAGGAGACTTTTAGGAGTAGAAGAGTTGTATATCAGCCTTGATTCTAATGAGAACAGAAAAAAAGCAGACGAGAATCTCCCCACATACACACCTTTTCACTTTTACCGCCATTTTATATTTAAAAAATTAGTCGCAACAGCCACGGCGGACAAGAAATGAAAGAATTCCATGTTGATGAGCGAAAGAAAATGACTGTTCGTTTTTTTCTAAATGTCAAGGGATTTTTAAAAAATGGGAAAATTAATAGCAATGGGTGAACAGCGATTGTTTTAAAACTCCTTTCACATCGTATCAGTGCTTTGGTGGTTGGTTGGAATGAAAGGGAAATGGGGGTTAATATTGAGTATGGCATTGACGACCTTTGCTGTATTTACGGATGTCGGTGCTTTCCTTCAGTATCTTTTTTTTTCCCTTTTTGTCTTCGTTTTTCTTCGTCTGATAACACTTTGTACTTTCTTTTTTTTATTGTCCTCTTGGGGTTTTCTTTTCCATTTTCTCGTTCTCTTACTTTCGTCTTGTGTTTATTTTCCAGCGTTTTTCAAAACATCTTCTCTTCCTTAATCCCTCTTTTAATCCCTCTTTGTTCTGAAATACTTGCTTTTCTTTCTTTCTTTCTTTCTTTCTTTCTTTCTTTCTTTTTTCTCTGCTTTTTTCTTATTCGTTCTCTTCTTTTCTAATTCTTCGACTTTCTTTCTTTCTTTCTTTCTTTCTCTGCCTTTTTCTTATTCGTTCTCTTCTTTTCTAATTCTTCGACTTCTTTCCTTTTTTCTCTGCCTTTTTCTTATTCGTTCTCTTCTTTTTAATTCTTCGACTTCTTTCTTTCTTTTTTCTCTGCCTTTTTCTCATTCGTTCTCTTCTTTTCTAATTCTTCGACTTCTTTCTTTCTTTTTTCTCTGCCTTTTTCTTATTCGTTCTCTTCTTTTCTAATTCTTCGACTTTCTTTCTTTCTTTCTTTTTTCTCTGCCTTTTTCTTATTCGTTCTCTTCTTTTCTAATTCTTCGACTTTCTTTCTTTCTTTCTTTTTTCTCTGCCTTTTTCTTATTCGTTCTCTTCTTTTTTTTAATTCTTCGATTTCTTTCTTTCTTTCTTTCTTTCTTTGTTATTGTCTGCCTTATTAATTTATTTACTATTTTATTTATTTAAGTTTCTCTTGTCTTTTTCTCTGTTTATTCATTCTTTTCTTTTTTTTTCTTTTATGTAGTCTCTGTTCCAATCACCTTTCTTTCTTTCTTTTGTATTTCTTTTAAATTCTCTTTATCTCATTATCGCTCCTTTTTTTTCTTTTTCTTCTTTCCTTCTTTAACTCTCCTTCGATTTTTTAAGCTCCCCTTGCTTCAATCTCCAATCATTATTTTTTCTTTCTACTCTTTCTTGATTCATTCTTCTTACCTTCTTTTCTAAGTTCTCTTTACCCCATCCTCCTTCTCTTTTCTTTCTTTTCTTCCTTGGCTCTTTCTTCTTTCCTTCGTTTTTAAGTTCCTCTTCTCTCATTCTTCTTTTTCCTTTCATTCTTTTTCTTTCTTTACTTCTTTTAAGTTCTTTTCAAGTTTCGTTTTTCACTTTAATTTCTTCTCTTATTTAATTCCCTCTTTTTCTTCTTCCTATTAAATTCTCCATATCTCGTTTTTTTCCTACTTTCTTTTGTTCTCTTACACTACTTCCCTTTTTCCTTCTTTCTCGTCCTCGCTAATTCCTTCTTTTTTTCTTTCTTTCTTTGAAGTTCTCTTCTGTAATTTCTTTCCTTTTTTTCTTCGTTTTTTTTTCCGTTGCTCTCTTTTACTCTCCATTTTCTTTTCTTCTTTTTTTTCTTTTCGTCTTTCTTCATTATATTATTTCTCCTCGTAACACAGGTTTTCATTCGATCACCGAAGTTAAGCAACATTGAACCTGGTTGGTACCTGGATGGGTGACCACTTGGGAATATTAGGTTCTGTAAGTTTGGATGTGTGGATGATATAATGTATATCGGCTCAGAATTGGAAATTGGAGAACTAAGTTCCAATTCTAGTAGGGTTCGTTATATCCATTTACGCGCAAATGAATCCACCTCGTCTCTCACGGGTATGAGTTAAATAGTAGGATTGGTATCAGTAAATCATTATTACCTATAAATAATTGTACAGTATTTAAATTAGTCGGACTATTGTCCTCATCTTTGTCGCCATATTTGTCACAACGTTTCGGCCGTTGTACGCTCCGGCCTTCTTCAGGTTGTTGGAATTTCGAACTGAACCCTTTATTTCGATCGCTGGGGTAGACTGTTCTAGTTCCACATGCCATGTTTGATGGATGTCAGTTTTCAGTTATCTCCTGCTAATTTTCCCTCTGAATTATATTATAAACCTAATGTTTTCAGCATTAGGTTTATAATACTCAGAAGTTCATACCCAGATAAAGGCGTTGGTTAGATCCAGTGACAGACCCAAAGAAGGTGAGTTCAATACCCGGTTAAGGCAGTGGAGAACTGTATACAACAGAAATCAAAGTAAATAATAATAATAATAATAATAATAAACTGCAAGAAACTGGTATGGATATCACCCAGGCGCGGTTACATAGATAGGACCCGTAACAATTTTAAGGGGCTTTACAATACACACAGACAGAACAAACACATCTAATTTCCCAGACATCGTGATCAAAGATAAAAAAAAAAAAAGAATATTATTTCTTATTGATATGGCAGTCCCTACAGATTTTAATGTATCTTTGAAGATCTTCAAAAGACTATCAAAATACAAGAATCTTGAGGTGGAAATCTCAAAAATGTGGCACATGAGAACATCAGTAATTCACGTCGTAGTTGGAGCCGTCGGATTGATTGGAAAATGCACCGATAGACTCAGTAAAGGGATTACTACTAGTCCATGCCTTAAAAACTACAAAAATTGTATTCACTTTATCTATGTAAACTGTGTGCGATCATAGTGTGTTTTTACAAAAATGAACAGTGAAAATCTCACGATATCATTTCTAACCTTAGGTTTCTGGTTGGGACCCTGAAAGAAATGAGTATACAGCAGAAATCAAAGGAAATGATAATAATAATAATAATAATAATAATAATAATAATAATGATAATAATAGGTTTGAAGAGAGATGTAGAGAAGACCAAGATGTTTGAAAGAGTGCAAAGATGGCGGATTGAATAATATTGTTGACAGGAAGTTATAACACGCTTGCACTCGTCTTTACTCTTAAATACATGCAGAGACACACAAACACATAGTAAGCCTTAATTACAATTACACCTTAGGTATCGCATACCAGCAGATCTCACAAGATGGAAGAATATTCAAAGAAAAAGCACCGAAAGCATAATCCAGAAGAATGAGAAACAAAAATGTCTTGAAGACACACAAAGATTTTTGTTTACTGAGCTTAAATTAGCCGACCACCCAGTGAGAATATAGATCACTGAAGAAGTTATATTCCGCTAAGGTAATTTCTCACCCAAGGCATGACAACCTCTATCTCTCTAATCTATCTCTGTTTGCTCATATCTATCTATCTATCTATCTATCTATCTATCTATCTATCTATCTATCTATCTATCTATCTATACAAAACGAGAGAAAGTGACGTGGATTTATTCATCTGTATACACACACACACACACACACACACATATATATATATATATATATATATATATATATATATATAGATAGATAGATAGATAGATAGATAGATAGATAGATATTTTGGTTTGGTTTATTTTGTTTTACGGCATATCAACCTCAATGGGTTATTTAATGTCGACAAAACTTTTTTTATTGCTGGTAATATTTTGTTTTGTCAAAAATCTATTTCTAGTATTATTTTCCTTCAAATTTATATTGCTGGTAATAATTTGTTCAAAAAACTATTGATGGTAATAGTTAACTATCTGCCCATAGAAAGGACCCTAACAGGTACTACCACCCTGGGTCAGGGTGGACATGGGAACATCAGCAATTAAGAGGTGGTTCCACGATCATCGAAACCTCCTGATCAGTAGCTTTTCCGCTGGATGTAGTTTAACGTCTTACCCAGGACGAGATAGATAGATAGATAGATAGATAGATAGATAGATAGATAGATGTATGGGGGTAGATAGACATATTAATTCTGCAGTATAATGAAGGAAAATGCTTTTGCCCAACAGATATTACGTTTAACATAATCTCCTTTTTGTCAATGCACTTGATTCATTGTAAATATTATTCAAAGAGGTCAAATATCATAGAATCAAAATTTAAGTTCAGTATTTAGATCGTAACAACGCAGTACGTTACAAACGTATTGATTCCCTTTCGTTTACACACACACACATACACACATTTAAAACACACACAGAAACCCCCCCACACACACACACATACACACACACACACACATAAGCGTTTATCTTATTCTCTTTTAGAATATTCCGAAAAGAGAATGCGAACAGGAATAATCATGCACTCAATAAACAAAAGTCATTCCTCTCAAGATGTCCATATTAACTAGAAAGAGTTGAATGTAAACAATAGACCTTTTAAGTAACGCTACATAATTCTGGACATATTATGACGCGTTTTACCTGCTGCCTTGTCTTGAAAACAACGTAAAAAAAACCTTTCCAAGTTGACTTAAATCACTGAAAAATATTAAGGAGATAGCTTTATGGTAATATAGCGAAAAGCTGGCAAAGGATTTTCAAGGTCGATTTATATATATATATATATATATATATATATATATATATATATGAGAAAATATATAGAAAATAGGAAAGAACTTGTTGAGAAATAAGTTATTCCAAGAAAAAATTCGCTTGAAGATGGAACAGAGTTTACTTTAATTCTAATTAATTCAAATGATTATATTGAAGTTTTCGGCTCTTGTTTTGAAACATGAGACCTCTTATGTAGCGTGTTGAAATCATATTTTTAAATAAATAATTATATATATATATATATATATATATATATATATAGAGAGAGAGAGAGAGAGAGAGAGAGAGATAGATAGATAGATAGATAGAGAGAGAGAGAGAGAGAGAGAGAGAGAGAGAGAGAGACGTGGCCGAGTGGTTAAAAGGTTCGCTATCTGACCATGAGACCCAGGTTTGAATCTCACCCCATGGTCGATTTGACAGGAAGGTGTCTTCCTGATGTTATCGGTCTAGGAGAGGTGATCCCAGCGTGCGGAACCTTTGGAAAGTACCTGCAAACCATACCATTGTGAGCGAAATTGGATAGATGGAACCCTTTGGAGCCATCTGTGGTTGTACTACCACGAATTGATAAATCAACGTGACCGAGGTTTAATTTCAAACTGTTGATCACACCAGATAACATGCTCTCTCCCCCAAAAACTTTCACTAAAGTCGGCTCAGCACAATTGCAGTACAAACCACAGGTGGACATTGTGGGTGTTGAGCAAACACAAATGTGCCTGAGTAGGCGTCTGCAACTGATATTAGCTAACCCCCAGACATCCTCGAATGCGAATGACCCGCCTTTTTTTTTTTAATTATATATATGGCACCTAGATATGGATCGAATGATCCATTACGACTCTATAGTGGGGAAACGGTGGAGTAATTACGACTGCATAGGAGGAGGCATGGTGGAGTAATGGATAGTGGCTTGAGGAGTCGAAGATCCGAGTTCGAATTCCAGTCGAACCCATTACGTGCTAATACCCTTGCGAAAAGTATGAATCCTTTTCTTCTCCCCCCAGCTATGGGTAAATAGCAGGACAGACCGGGTTCTGTAGCCTTGGATGGCAACTGGTCTACCGCAGAAAGGACTGGCAATCTACTACGGGAAAAAAATCTGCCTCGTCAGTCATGTATTGAAAGATACATGATCGCCTAAGCGTGTATCACGTATGGCACATAACTGACTGAGTGGGATTATCTATAGCTGTTGAAATCTATCATGTTTTTGTTTTATAGACATAATTCGCACGCCACGTCTAACCATCTTTGTACAGCTTCAAATGGCTGACTTACGAAATCAGAGTTAGCCTTTTTCTAGGCTGGTTGGTGAACACGGATAGAGAGCCCTGTCTGGTCTTTTACTTAGCCAATAGCTTGGAGGCGGTGTGCTATCTATGAAAAAAAAAAGAAACCTCTTACCTCTAGAAACCTATATATATATATATATATATATATATATATATATATATATATATATATATATATATATATATATATATATATAATACATATATATATATATTAATACACAATATATATATATTATAAATTAACTGATTTGAAATATGTTTTTTTCGCTACACAGTAATAACCATGTTTCAAAAATGGAAGCTAAAAGCTTCGAATTTAATTTTGTAATTAAATTAAAAACATTAGTTCCATTTCATCCTCAAGCGAATTTTGAAGTAACTTAATTTTTAAATTTACTGAGTTTTAAAGGCACAGAAAAATTCATAATTCATCGTTTCCAAGGATACAGAGAAATCCAATCATTCAGACAAGGGGTGGTAGCGTATTCATTTTTATTAACTTTTGTTGTATCAGTTATTAGTTACGTTCGAAAAAGGGGTTATGTTTAGATAGGGTAGGGGTGTATTTTTCAATGAATTCTGACATCCGTTAAATGCATGTCGTCTGTTTTTTTGTTTTTTTTTAAATTTTGTTAACGGCAAAAACATTTTACGGCATTTTTTTCTATTTGTATACTTAAAAGTTTTGGGGGTGATATTTAGGTCAGAATACGTTTTAATTAACTACAATTTTAAAATATTTTCACTTTTAATTTTTAATAGACTATATTTCTTTTAAAACAAGTAAATGTACTAGAATTACTTACCGTATATAAAATTATTTTTTCATATCAAGTATAAGTATGTATATTACCAGGTCACATTTGTTTTAAATATTATTTAAGAAAAATTTTTGACAATGACGGCAAGAAATAGGTAATACATTTCTCTTATTCAGTAAACTTTTATTTTTTATAAACTTGGTAATATATAGTTTCTCATGTATGTACAAAGGACATGGGTCATTTAATGGTCTACATATTCTAGCTTTTCTTATTAATTTCATTTCACCCCAAGCAAGGAGGGAATGCCTCTAGTGCTCAGAGTGTTACAGAGAGTGAAATTGAGAGAAAAGACTGGGTACGGTGTGGGGCGTGCGAGGAAAGGATAAAAGCTGAACGGGGTTGAAAAAAAGAGAGACGATGGCGACTAACGCTGCATTTAAATTTTTGAAGATTGTAGTTATCAGAGAAGCAAGGAAACGGAAAGAAGTTCCACATGAAGGAAGTGCGAGAAAAGAAACTGCTGGAGTAGGAGTGGCGGTTAAATTTACATAATTCAACAGTAAAAAGGTGGGACCTAGATGTCAATCTACTAACACGCTTAAACTCACGTATTCCGGGCACCAAGGAAAAAGATAGTCAAAGCAGCTGACGTGAAAATATTTGTAGAAAAGGCAGAGGGAAGAGACACCACGACTGTGAGAATGTGACTGAAATTGAGATGGCTTGTCAGGATCGATTACATTGTAGATCCTTCTTTGGATCTTGTCAAGAATCTCGAGATGAGTAGCAGGAGCACCAGACCAGATATGGCAATAGTATTAAATGCACGGCCGATGGTAGATATGTAAATATGCAAGATGGACTCTGATGAGAAAAAACATCTGGCACGGCACAGTGTCCCAACTTTCCTTGCAGTAGATGCAGCTATTGATCCGATGTAGTCGTTCCACTTCAAGTCTGTTGAAAACGTGAGTTCAAGATGGAGTAGTGTGCTGCTCTCCATGAGTCTAGCATCATCTATGCTTATAGTGGGCAGAAAAGTTTCTCTATGGTGGTTAAATAAGAGCATGTTTCTTTTGGAGGGATATATATATATATATATATATATATATATATATATATATATATATATATATATATCATAAGAGATTATAATAAAAAAAATGTTGAAATCGCTACACAAAAGCTTTCATGTTTCAATACTATGAGTTTACTTCTTCAGGCGATGGTAAGTAAATGGCGTTTAAATGATTTTTTAAGGCAATTTAAAAACAAAGTATTACCTCTTTTCCGAAAGTTAAAGTGGCGGGCGCATATAAGGTCAACATTAAAAATAGACTTGTGGGTATGTCTTGATTAATCAATCATAAGCTAAAAGAATGGAGGTGGGTGATATATATATATATATATATATATATATATATATATATATATATATATATATATATATATATACAATACTCTAATAATGCAAGACACTTCGGTAAATCTCTGTGTCTGTGTGTTTATCTAAAAATAAATTTAATTATAATTTTAGTGATTTGTTCAATAGCTAAAAAGGAGAAAAAGCACGAAGGCTTACCGACCCAAAGACATACATCAAAATAACGGGAGTTTCTGGGTTTTGTGGTATAGTTTACATGTCAGATCAACAAAGGATAGTAAACGAACTGCAATGAAGCATATTTTGGCAGCAACTGACTTACCTTAATTCCGGCGCCAATCAAAGAATGAAAAACCTCCACTGGAAAGGTCATCCGCCTGCATCAATGACCCAGAACTAGGAGAAGTTTAATTCATAAATAATAGATTCTCTTA